TTAAGCATTACATAACTCATTTTATAACGATCGTTAAACTCGTTTTATTCTTCCATTCGGTTAGTACTGAATGAGTTTACAACCAACTTTCAATAATCATAACTTTTTCATATATAATCCATTAGGGTTGATTCTTTTTACTACTTGTATATTTATTAAGCTAAATAATTCACTTAATGGTTAATGTCTTACCACATTATTATAGCCTAAAACATAGGTTCCTAAGCGTACTCATTCTAACACTTAGTACACTTTTATGTGTTATGCTGCAATTTTCTTCTAAATTCATACATGAATAACTTACTCATATGAATTCCAATTTTAATGAATCTTATATTCATGGAAGGTTGATTTCAAACTCTACAACTTCTTCTTACCAAAGTGTGTCTTAATGTTCTCCTAATTTATACTTATTAGCTCATAAACATGGATGTTTACCCATTTTTTTACCACTTTTAGGCTTTAAACAAGTAGATCTTATTCAGATGACCATAACTACTTCATTCCAAATCCAATTGACTTAAATATTTTCCTATACTTTCTTTATCATGCATACTTAAACTTTCATTTATAAAAATTCTTCTCAGTAACTACATGTCTTTAATCATAGAATTCATATAGGTTCTTGAAATATGGGGAGTTGTCATAGACCTCATAGAAAAGCTAAGCTAATAAAATCTCAAAGATTGTATTAAAAAAAAATGATATTAAGTCAAACATGATACTCTATATCTATAAAGTGTAATATTTGACCTCATATGTATGTGATATAATAACTAATTCAACATGTAAATAGTTGCTTCAAATGTGATTTAAGGCAGTACACATCGCACTTGCTCGCCTTACCAACCAGTCCATATACAATAACTTGAGTAAGAATGATCTTATTGTTTTGTCTTTTGTCCCAGACTCTTTTAGTCGAGTGTACTCAAGATGCATATAGTATAATGTATACCAATTAGTTTTTTTGTTATTTTTGTTGTATTTTTTAGCTCTAATATCTATTTCTTCTTGGCTAGCTTCTTATCAGTTCTTTGAATGCGTTACTGTTTCTAAAAAGTTGACTTGCATATAAAAGATAGTAAAGGAAAACTACAACATCCCCCATCATATGTATTTTTATATCACAAAACAAAAATGGTGTTGTGAACACTTCAACATTCTTATCTCTCCACCCCTTAGAGAAAACATACATTGTTACCGGTAAAAGTCATCCTCAAGCGCTCCTAACAACTGAGCTCAAAGCATCCATAATGCATAAATAGTCTAATGAAATAATTAAATGAGGTGGAATGGCAAGTCGATATTCAATGGATGAAACTAAATTATATTAAAATGACATGTTTGCGTTCAATACATATGAAACTCAATGCTCATTCAATTGTTCAATAGGAAAGTTAAATGATTAACAAATAAATGATCCTTTTTTATAAAAATATGTTTCATTGAAACTTTATAGAGTTTATTGTGTTATATGAAAATAAATTATAAAATCATATAAAAAATAGATTGGTGACATGTCATTCTAATAATCTATAGACTTCAAAATATATTATGGATGTCTAAAACTTTATAGAGAGAATTCAATGTCTTTGAGTAAGAAATTAATATGATGTGCATATGTTAACTCGTAGGGCGTGTTCGTCACGCAGTTTTTGGGAGCTTCTGGCTTCTAACTTTTAAGAAAATACTAGTAAAAAAGAAAAAGTATCGTTCGTTGACGGGAGCGTTTAGCTTTTAGCCTAAACAAAACGCTCCAAAATCAAAAGCTACATGGAGTAGCTTTCAACAAAACACTCTAAAATCAAAAGTTGTCCGCTATCAATCACCCGCTAACCGCTAACCGCTACCCGCTACCAGCTAGTTTTGCCGAACAAGCCTTAATAAAAACCAATGTATTTCTTTAAGGAAATCCAAGATATAAAATATTGTATGTTTATTAAAGACACGTTGAATTTGGATTTTTTTTTTTTTTTTTTTTTTTGTAGTATAAAACTATAAATATATACCAATATTGGAACTTTGGAAGTAAAGTGACTAAACATGTGTATTGGAATATAGTCTAGGGTTTTTTTTTTTTTTTTTTTGGTAGTATAAATATACGTATAAATATACACCAACAGCGCGCTTTTACGACTTTTGTGTCTTCTTGGATTAACAGCCCCTATGACGCCCACACCCTGTCCACAATCCATATCCAGTTTTAGGCAACAACGTTTCCAACTATCAGAAACCATAATCATGAACATAACCCCAAGTCCCCAACCCCGACCCCACCCTCATGGTCTACCCCTTCTCCCGCATTTTCTTCATCATCACCAAAACAAAAACAAAACGTATGTAACATCTTCACAAACCCTCCAATCATGGTGGCTTTCGCTTCCATTGCTTGTCTCAACGGCAACAATGGCGGCGTCAAAAGATCACCCAACGAACAACCCGCAAATATCCCCCTTGGAATCCTCGTATTCGAGGCTGCTAAGACCGTATCCCGCCTTCTTTCCCTCTACAGATCTCTCTCCGATCCTGAAATCTTGAACCTCAGGAAAGAAATCTTTAAATCTAAAGGCGTTGTTTATCTCAATTCTGATGACGAAGGGTATCTCCTAAATCTAGCGTGTGCGGAAAAGATCGAAGATCTTGACAAAGCTGCAATCGTAGTTGCAAGGCTTGGCCGGAAATGTTCGGATTTGACGTTGAATTCATTCGATAGGGTTTACACTGATATTAAATCAGGAACGACGGATTTGCGGAAATTTGAGTATGGGACAAGTAAAACAAAGAAGAAAATTCGTAAGTTGAAGAGATTCTTGTCGGCGACGTTGGGTTTGTATGGTTCGATGCATTGTTCTCCGGGATTGGAAGCGCCGGAGAAGAAAATGAATTCTCCGGTGCCGTTCAAGAACATGATGAAGTTCCCGGCCATTGAATGGAGAATCCCGCATGCACAGCCCTGGAAACAACATGTTCATCACACAAAACTGAATTTATGGACCCTGCCTTTCGAAAAAGTGGTTAGGCTGACGTCAAGAGTTGTATGCATAATTTATGCCCGGATTTGCATGGTGTTTGGACCATACGTGTCTGATTTACCAACGGCATACACCGGCAGACAAAAACACGTTACTGCACAAATCCCATCTGAAATCTGGTTTATCGAGCCCAGAACGCCTGACAACAAATCTCCTCGGCCAAGACTCTGGATTGTTCATCATCATGAACCAAGATCTCCTCCGTCAAAACTCGTGAAATCCAAATCCAAAAAAAACTTGGCTCGGATAAACCCAAACCCCGATACGTCGATTCCGACTGAGGGAGCCAAAACCGACCAGGTATTCCACGACGCCGGTCCCAATACTGTTGGCGGGTCCCGTCTTCAGATTCTTTACGCCAACCTCATCATGATGGCGGAGGAAAACATGGTGAGAAAGACCATAAAAGATGATGTGCGGGATGAGATGTATCGAATGTTGCCAAAAAATATGAGAGCGATGGTTAAGGTGAAGATCAGGAGGCTCAGGGATTGCAAGGGCAACAATGGTGGGAAGCAGAAGATGAAGGAAGCATTGAGGAGTATATTCATGTGGCTTTCACCCATGGCGCACAACACCTTGTTGTGGGCACGGGAGAGGAGAGTGGAGATGACTCGTTTTGACGCCAGGCCTCCTGTGCTGTTATTGCAGACATTGCATTTCTCAGACAAGGAGAAGACGGAAGCTGCCATTGTTGAGGTATTAGTGGGTTTAAGTTTTATATACATGCAACAGAAGAGTCGCCGGATGCCTGCAGCTTGATGGTGGCGGGTGACGCATGGTGGACATGTCTGAAGTTTAAAAAAAAAAAAAAAAAACACTTGTACATGATATATTCAAATGAATAATAAAAAATTTTCCATTGGACCGGAGACAATTATTTAAAACACCACTAGTAAAATGCAAGAGAAAACAATTAAAGACAGGGACTACAACAAAGATGAACAAATTAATTACTATTAGAGCAACAACATGATACCAATTTATTAGACCACACCTGATGCAACATAGGATTAAATAATAAGTGTTCGAATTGACCTTTTAGAAAAGTTTGCTTGTATAGAAAAAAACTTTTCAAAAATTTTTTGTAACAGTAAAAAACTTTAGAAAAAAACTGTCATCGAAGATAATATTTGATTGTCATTATACTATTGATTGATAGTGCTTATGATGATCCCCCTTTACCCTTCCCCATAATGTTGTTTTATTAGTATGGATTATGTACATGTTATTATGAATATTAATCAGTTTTTAAAAATCTTATTAATATGATTTTTATGTCTTTCTGTAAATATGGAGTCCTTTGGAGTTAGGCATAAGCCATGGGCTATTTTGTTTATCAAAACTTTCAAACTGCAAACATTTATAGTTGTGTTCAAAGCGGCTATATACATATGTATACTTGGCGTAACTTCCTAAGATATTAATAAATAAACTTCGTTTTCACTTTTCAGTAGTGATGTCGTTTGGATCCATAAGTCAATTTCTAACTTTGTATTCGTTTCATTTAGTAATCGATGATTAGATAACTATGTCTAATAAACATCCAATAGCATGTATGGTTGTGAGTTGTGACTTTTTCTAATTTCTAATATGCATATATTGTGGATGTGATGAATCGGTATTCATCTTGTTTCCCAAATTACCTAGTACTTGGTAAAATGCTGATAAGGTTTAGTTTAAAAGGAGTAATAAATGGTTTCCAATTAAGGGACGTAAGTAATTCATTTATAGAAACAGACACAGTAGTATCGAAACAAAAACAACAATCAAGTGCAAATGTAAATGTAAATGCAGATTGTATTACTATTTCAACTACCAAAAAACTGAAAAAAAAAAAAAAAAAATTGTAGAAGAATATGTAAGAAGAAATGGGCAGCAGCATTTTCCTCTCACCAAACAGACAGAGTACTCAATTCAGTAGTACCACCTTTTATTATTATTTTCCTGTGTCATCAATCCTCATGTTTAGAAACATTTCCTGTGCACAATGGATGGGCCCGACTCATCGTATTCAGCCTTAGCAATCCACATCTGTATTCACAATTGATAATTATTAAGAATTATTTATTTATGTCAAAGCCAAAGTCAAAGTGAGTAAAAAATTTACCTGCTGGAAGGTGCTAAGAGAAGCCAAGATGGAGCCACCGATCCAGACACTGTACTTCCTTTCAGGTGGGGCGACGACTTTGATTTTCATGCTGCTGGGGGCTAAAGCAGTAATTTCCTTGCTCATTCTATCAGCAATACCAGGGAACATAGTGGTCCCACCACTGAGAACAATGTTACCATACAAATCCTTCCTAATATCCACGTCACACTTCATGATAGAATTATAAGTGGTCTCATGAATCCCAGCAGCTTCCATTCCGATCATGGATGGCTGGAACAGAACCTCCGGGCACCTGAAACGCTCAGCACCAATGGTAATCACCTGCCCGTCGGGCAGCTCAAAGCTCTTCTCCACAGCAGAGCTAGTCTTGGATGTTTCCAGCTCCTGCTCAAAATCCAACGCAATATACGCCAACTTCTCTTTCATGTCCCTCACAATTTCTCTCTCAGCACTAGTCGTGAACGAATAACCCCTCTCAGTCAGAATCTTCATCAGCGCATCCGTCAGATCACGCCCAGCAAGATCCAAACGCAATATAGCATGCGGGAGTGCATATCCTTCATAAATCGGCACAGTATGACTCACACCATCTCCAGAATCCAGAACAATACCTGCAAATTAATTGCAAAACCAACCACTCTCACTCAGTAACCAATTATGCAACCAATTATGTAACTAATTAAGGGAAGTTACTTACCGGTGGTACGACCACTGGCGTAGAGTGAAAGGACAGCCTGAATTGCAACATACATAGCAGGGGCATTGAAGGTTTCAAACATGATTTGGGTCATTTTTTCACGATTGGCTTTTGGGTTGAGAGGTGCTTCTGTGAGAAGAACCGGATGTTCCTCGGGGGCCACACGGAGTTCGTTGTAGAAAGTGTGATGCCAGATTTTCTCCATGTCATCCCAGTTGTTGACAATACCGTGTTCGATTGGGTATTTTAGAGTTAAAATACCCCTTTTGGATTGAGCCTCGTCACCTACGTATGCGTCCTTTTGTCCCATGCCAACCATCACTCCAGTGTGACGTGGGCGTCCAACGATGCTAGGGAAAACAGCTCTTGGTGCATCATCTCCAGCGAATCCAGCCTAAATAATAGTAAACACACAAATAGCAGCCTACTTCTACTCCAAAAAATATATATCAACTTAACAATTTCCTTTTGGATGTTTTGACTTTTGAATGAAAGCAACATTTCTATTTGGGCTACATGCAAGAAACAACAACTTACTTTCATTTATATATAGTAGTGTGCTTTCAACTTTATTCTAATTAAGGCATTGGACTTTAAAAATAGCATATACAGTTACATATGTAGATAACCGGATTAAAGGGTAGCCAGTAAACCCATTTTTTACTTTGCAGACATAGACACCAAATCACAATTATGTGGACTATTTCTGCCATGTCAGCTCGGCCCATTGTTGACTTATTTGCCTAAGAAGTTTTAGAAAAAATTTTATAAATGGAAAACAATTTGGATAGAAAATTTAAGCCTCAAACATAACCAAAAAAAATATGTGTGCAAGTATTCCACATGGACATCCTATGTGGACTGTCAGTAGGTATTCCACATGGACATCCTATTTGGAAGGTGACGTGGAATAAAAACTTGTTAACATGGGCCATATTATTAGATTTCAAATTACCAAGTTACCCGTTACAAGGCCTTAATATGAACAATTTTGGAATTACATAAGAGGAAAAATGAAACTGCATTGTTGTTTCTTGCATTTAGCGTTCCATTTTTTAAAATTAGATTTGACCACATGTGCATTAGTAACCAAAACAAAGCATTGTAGCATTTTGGCCCACAAAGTGCTATGTTTTGCAATTTTTTGTGATATTTTGGATATTTTCCATGAATGGCCAACATTGTTATTAAACCATATATCGGATAAAATGCTGCATTTATTTTGAGGGGAGCTATGAAATAGGAATTCACTCCCCAAAAATAAACACAACAAGAAACAAAACAATTGACCTCAAAAGAGTATGAGAGTAAAGTAGTTTAGCTACAAAACTACAACACCACATTCGAATTGATACCTTAACCATTCCAGTTCCATTGTCGCAGACAAGTGGCTGAATATCCTCTCCATCTGCCATTTTAACTCAAAGCCTGTAAGAAAATAGGAAAGATGAAACGTAGATTCAGTGCAATAATCATCAAAAGACATGGAAGGTAGTTTTTTATGATGTCAAATGTCAAAATTTGTTGTCAACAACAATATATCTGGGATGAACATAGATCATCCACCATGAATACATCAAAGATAATTTACAAAACCATTCATCATTGTCAAGAATCAGCAAAACATAGCAACTTGATCTCGTATTGTAACATTTACAATTTCTGTTTTCTATTCACATGATCTGGAATGTATAAAATGTTGTGATTTCTATTTAATAACAAAACGAAACAGTGTTTTGCAAAGAATTTTTTTTTAACCATGAAATATCAAGATCAAGTGTAGAAAATGATTTATGGTTTTCTGAAAAGTAAACGTTTGTCAATTGTCACACACCACGTCGAGTTAAGAAAATCTAAAATGCAAGGCTAATTTATGTGTATATGTGTTGATAATATGCATAAAATACATCAATTAATACATAGATACGTACACGAATATGTATGTATTTATGTGCATGTACAAGTATGTGTGTGTATACAAAGATAGATGTATATGTAAGCAAATATATATGTCATGTACGTATAATTTGGGGAAAATTGGTTCGCAGGGAAACACAACATTCAAATGTGGAACAATTTGATGATATCATTGAGAAGCGAATTTGTGATCGTAAATGTGGAAGATGTTATAGGTCTGCGGTACATGAAAACAACCGACGATAAAATAATCGGATCTCAAATCGATTCCATAATGCAATATCCGATTAATGGAATTAGAAACAAATGCTTGCAGATCATAACGTCAAATCACTACAAGAAACAAACAAAACAGGCATCTCGATAATAAAATGACAGCGGAATGATGGGATTGAAATGAGGAAAAGATATCGTCTCCAAACACAAAATAAACAGATCAGTCGTTAATCGCATCGAATTATATCACAAATAAGTGCCATGCACAGAATCAAAAACGAAGACTATGTTAACAGGAACCGAAATCGAACGCATTCGAGAGTATAATGAAAGAAGAAAGATGATAATAATTCGAGAATCGAGAGGATTTACCTATCAAGAATTGCAAAAGTTGATTGATCGTGATCGTGATCGTGATCGTTAGCGAGAGAGAATGGACCTGGCTTTTGGAAAGAAACACTCAGATTTACCTTGGGCGAGTGTGTGTAAATGGGGAAATGGAAGGGTAAAATGTACTTGAAATTCGGGAGATCGCTACACCACCCATTCCATTTTGTTCGTGCTCCCGCAACAAATCAAAAATTCTAAAATTAGTTTGTTTATCTGGGTCAATTCTTTTTGCAATGTTTGCCAAAACTAGTAATGCCACGTCATATTTTTATTTTACATTCTGGTTCTATTATAGTCATATCTTAAATCAGTTTATCATATGATTTTATTGTTTCATAAAAAAAATATCTTAAATCGGTTTATCATATGATTTTATTGTTTCATAAATATTTTCGTTAGTTTATCACCCGTAAGAGTCACTGTTATAAAATTAATTAAATTTTTATAATAAAAATTTGAAATTATTAATCAATTATTTTAAATAAATTATTAATTAAGAGATATTTTTTAGTTATATAAAATAATATACATTGATTTAAATAAATATATAAAATTATATCACCTTATAATATATATATATATATATATATATATATTATTTTATTTTTTATTCTAATGTTATTAATTTAATATATATAGAATGTGAAATTTAAAATTTGAAAATTGAAATAAATAATTAATTATTAATTTAATATAATTAGAGTGGGGATTTAAAATTTAAAATTTAAAATGAAGAATTAATAGGTTGACATATGGCATGATAAGTGGCATATAGTATTAACTATGTATTACATGGGTTTAATTAAAAAACAAATATAAAATTTTAACAATTTGAAAAGTTTGAATTTATAAGAAAAATAAGAAAAAAATTGAATTATTAAAATTAATAAGACTTTAATGTATTGATTACATTACATATATAAATTCTTTCTAATAAATAATTTACATATATATTACCTTACACATTAAATGTGAAATTTTAAATTAATAAAATGAAAAATACGATAAAATGACAAGTGGAAAATAAAAAATTTAAAAAATCTATAAAATTTCATGTGTCTAAATGAATGAGAAGAAGACATGTGGCAAAAAAACCTTCATTTATTATAGTAGAAGATGAGAATTTCTAATATTTTGACATTTGTCAATAGAAAAATAAATTTATTCATTTATTAGAATAGAAAGAAAAGATATATAGTAAACATACAAACTAGTAGAACTAAAAGTATATAAATGGACACATATAATACCAATAAAGTTATAAACTATATGATCTAATAAGAGTAATGAATAGAATAAAACAAACAATATTACATTATTATTTTTGGTAAATACGAATTTGCTTTTCAAAGAGTTTTCTTTGTTGCTATGTTGGAGTTGATGTATGTGTTTCCACCAAAATCTTGTAACATTTAGAATATAGTAATAAATAGATATAAATATTATTAATTAACTTACATTTTTTTTAAAAATTCTCAAAATTAAAGTTCATTAGTTATTTTGTTTATTTATTTAAATTATTTATTTAAATTTAAAAAAAAAAAACAAACAAACAATTCTATTATAATAATTCATTATTTTTTTATTTTTTATAAATTCAAAGTTATTAAATATTTAGATCTTTATATTTAAATTTTTTTTAAATTAACCAATATAATACATGCAGGGACAAATATACATATTGTGAAGGTGTGTCACTTGACCTATCTAAATCTTTTTTTCTTTATATAAGTAATGTATAAAGTTTATTTATGAACTACCTAAAATTTTATAAATGATCTATCTTATTAAGCTTCACAAAGAGTTGATATAAATCATAACTTTTAAAGCCTATATTATATATCTCGTAGTCCAAATACTTAATTATCCATTTAAAAAAATAAACAAATATACTTTTTAAGTCATAATTTATGTCATATATTAAAAATTTTGTTTTAGATATTGTTAGTAATGATTCAATTGTCACAATATTTCAAGATATTAAACCTTTTTTGATACAGTTGTTAATGATTTAAATCGTTTTTTTCTTATACGACCCAACCCACTACCAATATTTTTTGACTATTTTATTTTTATATATCAGTTTGTATGTATGTTTGTGTTCTAGACTCGTCGCTAAATAGATATGTCTCACAACTAGTTATTAATCGATTTGAGTTCAAATCATGTGATCATCTTGCTTTTCTTGTTATTAATTACCAAATACGATATGAGAAATTTATTTTTGCCAAATAGTTTGAGGATTTCTAATAAGAATTTGCGTATAAGCGACCGTGACATCCATATGGCTGCACGCATACAAAAGTATGCATAATATTCTCTCCTATATTTGGGCCTTTGGCACAAGACTTCAGCCAACTTGAATATTTTATCAAACTTTAAGAAATTCATATTAGCTATCACCTAAATGTACGAAGTGTTATCCACTCATAATGACCAAATTTTATATAGAAACATAACATATACCAAGTAAATTGAATTTGTTACATGGAACCAAAAAAAAAGTGATAAAATTGAGCTGTTTTCAATGACAATCATATAATATAACCTCTCGGTAGCTACCAATAAAACCTCCTACAACTATTTTGCCTTAAAACAATGACGAATCACATCTTTGTGGGCCCAAAAAATGTCCTCAATATTCCGTAACAATACTGGATAATGACGAATAAGTCCCCACGAGAGCACTCATGATACCCACCACAATAATGGAAATACTCAAAGCAATCTGTGTACACAAGCATCATATAAAATTCCATCAGAAGAAAAAAAAAACATAGAATTCTTGTGCCATTTTTAAGGATGAGGATGAAAGGGCATTTATGTCTTTTTGCACAAACAACAAATCAAGAGCGAGTCTCTGTCCCAAAACTGTTGTACCTGACATCAGTCCCAGTCCAATCAAACACAGTACACACTTATATGTCTTGTCATGTGTAGCACATGTCATGGTTTTGATCTGCAACTTACCTGTGTAGTTGTTGCCTTATTTCCTTGAATTTTCAGAAACAGCAAAGCTGGCAATACTATTGCCTGTGTTGAAGGACATACAAAATTAAAAGTTTTCACTTTCACTAGAATTCAAGAATTACATTAATAGCCTTGCAAGAATATTAGTTTTGAATGTAAAGGGATCAAGTCAAGTGGATACTTCATACTTACCACCATTACACATAGGAGTGATCCCATCAATGCCATCACAGCACCTGCAGTCAAACATACAAGATTCAGTTCATCACACAAAACAAAGTAACAAACAGCATTTTCTAATTCCAATGGAATTAACCATTCCATTCCATGATTCCATCTTACCAAAGAAAGGAATGAGAACTGCAACACAGACTGTAGAGAGGACTAGTGCTGTTCTGAGAAGAACATAACACCAAGTGCTACTCGAGACTCTTGCAGGTAACAGCTCTTCTATGGCACTAGCCAATGGATTCATAAGCAAAGCATATTTATAGAATGTCAAGGAAACAAGTGAAATAAAACGATATAGAAATTAAAAACTAAAAAGGAGGATTTTAATTCTATTCCTAGTTGGTTATCATCATTAAAAGGATATTTGGTGAACGGGTTGATGACCTGCAATTTGTTAAACATATATTAATACTCATAGCAAATTATTACATTTTTAGTCCACTTGCAATTTTGTCCTTATTTGATGTTTTTGTTCCCTTTTCATAGTAAAATGACTATATTTTCTGGACCAAAAATAGTCATTTTATTTGGGACATAGACCAAAAATATATTACAATAACCTCAAATAAGGACCAAAATTGCAAAATACAGTAATACTTAGGGACGAAAATGTAATTTATTTACTGTTTATTTTAAATTGACACTTACCACTATCCACAAAGCAAGTTTTGAAACAATCACATTATCTGGCATGTTCAATGTTATTTGAGACAAGGTACTTTCACCAAACATGAGAAACCCCATTATTGCAACAGCCCCATACATAGCCCCACTCAATGAAAAACTGAGATACATTTAAAAAAAACAAAAAGATATTAGCTCGTGGAACATTTTACTTTTTTCATATTTATTTAATAATTAAACAAAAGTAAATGTTTGGTCCCATACCCTATTACCATGGCCTTGCTAAACTTGGTCTTGTCAGACATTGACTGGTATATATTTGGGAACACAGAATGTCCAGAATAGCAAAAGACATAAATGCCCAAAGCAAACGGAACACCATTCCATTTAACTGCGGGCCCACTTTCATGAAACCCAACATTCACTGTCCCAAGGTAAAACACACAAAAGATAACCACAACTGTAGCCAATACCCCAGTAGCTGCAAAAAAAAAAAATTGGCATTTATTCATATAACTTCATTTTCAACTAGCAGATATATATATATATATATATATATATATATATATATAAAATACTGTATAAGATACCTGATAGATATGAAATTACTCGGACATTCTTCAACAAGACAGTAGGTATAAGAATGACAGCAGTGACAATTGCAAACAAGTGCATGGAGTCGAGAGTAAAACCACCCAGATTTAAGGACACTCCAGGGAACAAACTATTGAGATTGTCTCCTTCTAATATAATGAATTCCACACAATATGACTGAAAAAGTTCAAAATGTAAAGCCGTTGAAACAGAAAGAGGGAAAGAAAATCATTACAAAGCCATTGAATCAATGCTTCACTTACATAAAGCTCGGTATACAAGACAATCTGCACCAAACCCACAAGTATCAGGAGTTGTATAAATCGTATAGGTCACATTTCTTACACGGGACTATACAAGCTTTCTAGGGTTATTTTCAATGATGATGATGGTAAGGGCATTTTCGTCTTTTGCACAGACAATTCACCTGAGTGGACGAAAAATTAAAATTTTTGAACCGTTGGCATCGGTCTGAGTCTCGGTACCAGTCCAATGCATGTCAAACACAGTACAACTTGTTTTGTCCTATCCTGTGTAGGAGGTGGGGCCATGTCAACTTACAGATATGACGAGGCGCCCATATTTTCCAAATGCAGCTTCTCCAATATCCGGATAACTAAGAATCCCTTCTTTACTCTCAAAGCAATGCCTCATGAGTGAAGCAGTGTAGCAACATATAACACCAAACACAACTAGCATTCCCAATCCCGCCCAACCAGCTTGTGCAATTGTATATGGTGTAGAAAGAAGCCCAACTCCAACCATAACATTCACCGCTGTTCCACCATATTATAAAAAATATATAGTCATTATAATCATAATTACACTTTCTTTAGTATTAAGAATTTGTAAAGATTCATTTTGGAGATTCTCACCATTGAATACAGTCTGAGTAACACTGCATCCATGGCTAATGGGAAGTTCTCCAAGTTGCTCGTGTAAAGAACCCTTTCCTGACCATGTTGATATCTTCCTTGTGATCTTTTCAAGATTCTCTTTGCTATAAAGTTTTTCACATTCGGATAGCAACCGAGCTTTTGCTTCAGCATCAAAGTTACTTTCGATACCAATATCATATAAGGATGAATATATAGTGGTAGAAGGAGATCTAAGGAGTCCGAAATTTGGTGTTGCTGTGATTGAATATGAATCAATTGTCTGCCTGCAATCAAGAAAATAGCATTATAATTGCGTATTGGACTTTAATGGTTATTGAAATTGCATATTAATATGCATTTGGGTAGCTAAATATGTGCTCCTCCCAATTAAAAAAATATGAACAAACTCTAGGTTGACTTTAAAGTCGAATAAACTATTCAGCTCTAAAATCGGTATCATTCGTGAGCATTATTAAGCAATTTCATAACAAAGATTACAATTTTGATAAAATCAATATAACTTTTGAATTTAAAAGGTATACCTTTGACCACAAAAGTCAAGGTGTGTGTATATGTTCATAGCAAGAAAGCATCTTATATATAAAGTTTCGAACTTTTTGCCATATTTATAGAACAATATCAAGATTGGCCCACATCGTATGAGCATGAGACCATGGGAGCTTCTGCCAGAATAGATGTTAACTGATAATATATGATAATTAGTTAATTACGACAGATTTCATTATACGCCTAAACAAATCGGACGATTGTTTCCCTGATTCAATAGAAATCAAGTGGAAAACCAAGATTTCTAGCCTTCTTCAAGATTAATAATAGTAACACAGAGAAACAGATCTGTTTCCATAGCAACATATGCCAAAGCCATAGCACTGCTATAGTAGCTTGTAATGCATGCTGTGAAGGCTGTACGTTGCTATGTTCGGTGGACAAGACTAGCTAGCTTAAGACAAGGGCGAGAGAAAGCGAAACTAACTTGTAACTCTGCGGCCATTGACGAGAGGAGAAATGGGATGAAGAACGCGTAGAGTTACGACTTGCATCGTCATCGCTACCATCGTCACTATCATTATTTTCGACATCGTCGTATTGAACTTCGTCATCTTCATTATACTCCAAGAAGTACTCATCGTTTGCTTTGTCTCCCATTTTTCGGAGAACTTTTTACTGAAAACCCACAAATATTTTAGGGTTATATCAAGATTAGAAAGCTCATAGACAAAAAAACAGACAAAATACGACAAAAAACACGAGTAGCCAAAGAGAGAAATGAAGCTAACTCGATAAATTTGTTGGCGAAAAAAGACGTCGGTATCTTATTTTGTATCACTAGTGTTGTTGTTCGAGAAATAGAGTTTACTAGAATTGTCGAAATTTGTGGGTTCGTGGCGTAATCTTATCAGAAGGTGGAAAGGTTATTGATTGTACGTCTGTAATTTCAATAGAGAATCAAAGTGTACGGACGCGATTCTATCGGTTCACGAGTTTTTGGCATTGATAAAGACCGATCATACATATGACATCTGAGAGTATATCAATGGGATATACACAAGTCATTAACATTTTTTAATCATTTTAACCTCCTCACGAATATAAACGAAAGAATATGTATAATGCAGTATGTTAAATGAACGAACATAAATAATAAAACTCGTTTGTTTCCTTTAGCACTCGTTTGTTTGTTCGGCTAACTTAAATGAATGAACATGAATAAATTATTTGTTCGGTTCGTTTACAACTCTAATATAGAATGCTTAACATGTCAAAGATTGTCACATCATCACCACCATCTGAAAATTGTGTCTTAGATTTGGTATACTTTACCCAGAGATAATATTTGATGAGATTTCATTGGGTGTGGTAAGGATTATCAATTTGCATGGTTTCTCACTCTTCAAGTGGAATCATAAATAGCCTTAGAATTCTTTGTCCTACTTTATTGCATGGTTCTTGTTCGATATATTGCTTTCAAGTAGGAACAAGCATTCAAATATCTTTCTTATTTCCTGACCATATGCATCTATGTTTTCGCCTGGGGTTGAGCTAGTATCAGTCTAGACTTCGGGATGGTTTGCATGTTGTAGACTTGTATGTCTCGTGATATGGATGGCAAGTTGTAACGCTTTATTTCCCGGTATGAATTTATTTCCAAGTTGTTTATGTTTTCTCTTCGGGACACGGCGTGTTGGAGCCTCAACACAGTGTTTCGAGATGTTTTTGGCCACGGAGTTTAATGAGCCCACATGGCATGTTGAGGTGCCTTAACACAACGTGTTGGCAGTTGGGGAGGAAACCCTAATTTTTAGGGTGGTACACCCTATTTAAAGGCCTTAATTCCCCTTAACCGACCTCCTTACCAACCCCATTTGTTATCTAAAACCCTAAATCGATTTTTGAGCTTTCTTGGTGGTGTTCTTGAAATTTTGATTGGATTCCTGTGGATTTTTGTGCTCATTTGAAGGAGCTCTGGAGTTTGAAGGTGCCTAGCTTGGAAGGGTGGTCATAGATCCATAATCTCACCACTTGTTGCAGTCTCCTTGAGGTATCAAGTCCATACCTTGCTTTCTTGTTGATTAGATCTTCTCTTATGGGTTTTTTTATGATTTCGGCTCATAGTTGGGTTGTCTAAGGAGTTAAGTTGTTTCATGGGTGGTCTTGTTAAATCTGAGCATTTTGTGGCCTCCTTTGGTTAAAAGGTGCAAGCTTTATAAGAATTTAGGTCTCGTGCAGGCATTAAGTCCTTTATTAAACCATACTTGAGCTTTAGAGCTTCTCTTCGGCATGCATGAACGTAAAGTTGGCAACTTTACGTGGTCTTCCAGCCCTTAGGTGTCAAATTTGCATTTTGGGGCTATGTCGTTGAAGATTAAGAGCTTAATGGTTAAGTCTTCACTCTATTAAGCCTAGTGTTTGGGTTTTGGACCCATTTGGTGGTTCCTAGGGGTAAAACTGGAAACTTTACCCTTCTAGATATCATTTTGGTCGAGATCTGAGCTTTGGATCTCTTAGATTTAATGAAGGCAGCTTCATGTATTAAGCTTGTAACGCCCTGATTCTCAAGTATTGATTTATGGTTAAATTTTCATGATTTCAAGGTCTACTCGACGAGTTGATTGCCCTGACTCGTCGAGTAGCTGTGGGTTGGTCCACGTGTTTAAGTGACCTACTCACCGAGTCCAAGAAGGGAATCGATGAGTAGGAGTTGGAGGATGAAACCCTAATCTCTGGGGTTTTGCACCCTATTTAAGGGATCATTAGCCTCCTTGCAGTCCCTTGAGAGCTCAGCAAACCCTAATACGTGTGTGTGTGCTCCATTTGTGTGTTTTAAGCTTTGGAAGCATGTGATGTTGGGTTGGGTTAGGTTGGTATACGTAAGGCAGTTAGTAGCGGGAGTGGGAGCTCCTTGTATGAGTTATAGTAAGTAGGATTGGAGTGTATTGCATGCATGTTGCTTGCTATGTGCTTTGTGGAACTCTTAAGTGATGGGAGTTAACTACTAAGTGAATATGTCAAGTTACATATGACAAAGGTTGAATAATCTCAAAGTGATGGATTTGACCCTATTGCGCAACTCTTGTTTGAGTCCAACCATTGTAGGGATGAGTCTGTTACTCAAAGGATTATCGAAGCTTTGTTGCATGCGATTGTATTCATGAGGTGGGTGACTGGCATTATGAGGAGTTCTTCAGCAGCTGATGGCATGATAAGGTTGGGAACCTAGGAAAGCCTAGGGATTGCTTCAGTGGGATTTGATGCACCGTTTCGCAAATGTTTGGTGTATGGATTTGAGAAGGTGACTTAGAGGATTCGGGAGGATTCTTAAGGAAAGTATGGATAGGTTTGGAAGGTAGTATTAGGCCCATACTACTGAAAGCACAGGATCCATACTCGAATCGGGAAGAGTCTTGGAGAATCTAGGAAGCCTGTAGGATGAGGATTCTTAGGTATACTTGGATCTTTTGCATGTTGTTGCGGTATGGTGTTGAGCACTCAAAAATAGGGTTCGAGTTATGGTTCCGGCTCAGGTGCAGGTACTGAGCCGATCGATGTGCGGATGTGGAAGTTCATCTCATCAGAGATTACTCGTGGTATTTAAGATCGTAACCCTCTTATGAAGAGGAAGAGTTGTTTATATATTAAACGAGATTAGGGTCTTATTAGGGTTGGGCCGTCATTAGTTGCTTTTCCCCTTGGACCCCACTAGGGGCGCTACCCCTTTGGAAACCCCGGACCCGGGGGCGCTGCCACCGGACCCCCGACTAGTTGTCGAACCGGCTTCTAATTTGATCTTATACATGCGTGCACTCCGCACAACTCCGTACATATATTATAGTACAAATTATGAAGCCCCTTAGCTCACATGTTAGTTCCAGTTACTTAAAATGACATGGTGACACTAAAATCACCAACACATTATGTGGGTAATTCGAAAAGCCTCCTTTCGTGTCAAGTAAGAATCTGTTATCTCCTTTACACTCGCATCCTCATTTCTTCTCATTCACAATGTGGTTTTTGGAATGACAACTGCAAAATTCTAACAGTGGTTTGATAATAGAATTCGTGAAGTCTTAGAGGAAACCTCACTATGGCTTATATCCGGCGCATCATTTCTGCTACTGCATATTTACATAGTTTCACTGAAATAGGTTATAAAGAAAAAAGATATAACGAAATGTTGGTGCCTTTATGCTTTTGCTACTGATTTGCTTAAATCGATAATCATCTTGTATTCTTGTTGAAAGTTTAACGTTAGAATTTTTTTTCTTGTGATACTTGCTACCGAGTAAACTATAGTTGGGATTTTACTTCTCAACATGTTTATATACTCATAGATTTTGAAATTGAGTGGTAAACATTCATTGGTAAATTGTAGCTTTTTCTTTGGGAAGCATAGCTTTTCCTCACAGGATGGAACAAAATGTAGTGGAGAAAAAGATGAATCTGAATCATATAGATCCCTAATTGTGTTCCCAACACCAACACAACAAAAGCAGAGCAAGTCTTTGACCAAATAACGAACGTGAAACTCCCCATCTCCACCTTTTTCTTGCGATTAAATGCTTATTCTGTACAAGAGAACCGACTGGAGAAAAATGATTGATGTGTTATTGTTAATGGAAAAGGAAAACATCAAACCATCACTTTTCACGTATAGATTATTAATAGAAACTAAAGGCCAATCTAGTGACCTTGCTGGAATCGAACAGATTCTTGAGAATATGAAGGGCGAAGGATTGGAATCTGATTTAAAGTTTCAGTCTGTGTTAGCTCGAGACTATGCCAATTTAGGTATCAAAGAAAAAGCTAAATCCATTTTAAATGAAATGGAAGGAGACAACCTGAATGAAAACAAAAGGGTATGTTCGTCTTTGTTTCCCATTTATGCACAACTTGGAAGCTCGGATGATGTTAAAAGAGTTTGGGAGGTATGCGAATCCGATCCCCAACTCCACTAGTGCTTAAGTGCTATTGATGTGTTTGGAAAAAATGTAGTGAAACGAATGGATGAGAGTGGGTGTGGAATCAGGCCTAATAGTTTGATTATGCACTGGATAGATTTTGTGCTTAAATTGATATGGTGAAACATTTTTTGCCAAATTATAGATGTTATTAGATAATTTAATACATTTGTTGGAAAAGTAACGAGCATGACAGTAAAGTTAACATATTTGTTGCTTTGGTTGATGTACATTGTGCAGTAGATGATAATTAAACTTCTAAGGCAACCAGCCATGGAAAGATGCAAGCCATATATGGCTTAAAAAGATCAAAAGCTATTTTAGCATCTTTGTGAATTTTTATGACCTGAAACTTTCTCAACACTTTAGCACTTAAAAGGTTTTATATATGGTATGCAACTTGAAAAAACTAAATAAAAAACAATAGGAATTGCTTGAAAACACATGATCCATTAGGAATGGGTGTTGAGAACGATGTTACCACCACATTAAAGCGAGATGGCTAAGGTGGAGGATGGCCACACGAATCTGGTGCGACAAGGTCCCGTTGAAATCGAAGAGGAATTTTGATAGAGTGATAGATAAGGATGAAAACTGGTCAGGAACTGGCCCAAAAATGATGAATTGGGGGAACCGAGAACCAGACTGAATACCACTAATCGACAGATAAGGATGTAAACTGGTTCAATTTGTTTTTTCGGTTAAAAAAGCTCACCCCAATTGGCAGATTGGCGAACTATGATGTATATATAGATCAGAATGTTGTTCGTTGTTGGTCAAATAAGGAGCATGAAAGGAAGATGAAATTTTTGGAAATGACACTATTAAGGGTGTGGACGTGATGCATGCGGTAGAACATTGTTGAATAGGATACTGAATGCATCAACTAACAAAGACTTAGCAGTTAATGGTGTGATGTGATGATGAGTGGATGCTTGAGAAGGAAGTTGGGAGATTGCTTGAGTTTAGGTAGGGCTGTAAACGAACCGAACGAACACAAACAGAGCTTGGTCATGTTTGTTCGTTTAAGTTAACCGAACAAATGAATGAACATAAACAGTTAAACGAACGAGTTTTCTTGTTTATGTTCGTTTGTTTAACAAATTACATTGTTCATGTTCGTTCGTTTATGTTCGTGAACATGCTAAATAAACATAAACAAACGAACATAAACGAACGAAGATAAACAAACATATATGAACATAAATGAACATATAATATAGTAATGTAATCAAACGTAATTAAACATATATGAAGATAAAAGGAAGTTATATGAACGAACATAAACAAACGTAAACAAACAACATAAACGGACATTCACAAACATAATTGAACGAACGAGATCATTGTTCATGTTCGTTCGTTTAGTTAAACGAATGAAAATTTGTGTTCATGTTCGTTTGCTTATTAAAGAAACGAACAGAAATGAACTTCCCGTCGAACAGTTCACGAACAGTTCGTTTACGGCCCTAAGTTGGTATGTATGAGTTGGTTCTTTTTGATGACATGACTTCAGATTGAAGATAAGAGTAGTGGATTAATATAGTTTTTTTTTTCTCTCGTAAAGTATGTTATTTGTTTATTCACTATTATTAGCTCATGTTTCTTATGTTAATATCATATATGGAGCAAACCTCTCAACCACGAGGTACAACTATCTAGATCTAACTTACCCCTTACCTCACATCTATGGGATTTGAGTATTGTCGTGTAAATGGTTCCATGAAGTCTAAGCCCTAAATATCAATCATCAAACAACAAACAAATGGAGTGAATCTCATCTCATCCTTTTTTTTTTTTTTTTTTTTTGATATTAGTCATATGCTTGTAACAAAAATCTCTACCATCATTAAATAAGGATGCTTAGTAGAATCCTCATTTTAGAATTCTAAATGTTGTCTTCTCATCTCCTCCGAACTTGGAGTTGTGACATTTTAAATTTACTGTTGTACCCCAGGAATGCACATCCTCTTAATTTGGTATATTGCTCGTTTTGGAAACTACAATACTGTCCCAATTAGGTATGGATGGAACTTTTTTAGATGAGAATACAATGACCAAATACTCTTTAAATCGTATTGTAAATTACTTGTGTGAGTGTTGCGTCGAATTAATATTATTGTTGCTCACAGCGCCCATGGCTTTAAAAGGTTGTGTTAAGTCGCTCTCATTTTGATAGATAAACCATCTTGCTTCATATGGATTTTTAGCATTTGTCATAAAAAAATGAGATCGTTTTGCTCTTTACGTATTATAAAAATATATAATACGGTTTTAGTCAAACTTATTTATATGGTCTCTCAACTCAAGTTTCAAAAGATACAATTTTTTGAATAATTTAATTCCAACTCTATCTCAACCTTTTTGTCGCACATGTGAGTTACAATGAGTCAATCCCACTCCTCAGTCGAGAGAGAGGGAGGGTTGGTTTGTGATGGGCTTCCTTTGACATCAAAAGCTATGCATAAACTCAAATCTATGAGGTCCAAGTTCAACCAATATCAAGGTGAGGAAGTAAACATGTGAACATTGAAATCTTTCCATTTGCCACATGTTCACGAATGTTGAAAATAAAAGACTTAGATGCATAAAAAGGTTAAATGGTCTTTGGTAAGATAAATGACAAGATATTAAGAGTGTCTCTAGTAACTTGAGGTATACAATAGAAATGGAAATCAAATACATGGCCATTACCTAACTAATCAAGCAAATCAGACACCGCGGTTTTCTTAAACGCATCAACTTGTGCCAGCTGTCCCACCAACGACTTACTCGGGAACACATTATCCGCCTTCAACCGCTCCCTAAACCCATACGCCGGAACTTTCGCATTTATATACGCTTGCAAAAGCGAATTATACTGCCTAAACCTCGACACATACCCATCTTGTCTCATTCTATAAAAAATCTTTTCAGCATTATGTACATCACCTCTTTTAGCATACTGATCCAAAATCATCATATAAGTAGCAAACAACGGCTTCCCTTGAATTTGCTCCGAAGCCTTTTTCAAAACCGAATCCGCCTTCTCAATCTCCCCCGACTCCAAATACAGTTTCACCAAAGCATCCCATGTCAAAGGCCCGATCCTACACCCGTTGTCACTCATCAACTTCACCATATCTTTCCCTTTTGTCAACATTTTATTATACGCGTATACTTTCAACATCGCAGTGTAATATTTCGCCGATAATTGTTTCCATTTTTTCGACATTTTTTCAAACACCGCCTCCGCTTCCTCCACTTTTTTTAACCTCCCGAACGCGTCAATCGCGTTTAAACACTCGTCGAGTCTCGGGTCGGATTCGCAAATTTCCCAAACTCGTTTCACGTCGTCTTCGCTTCCGAGTAACGCGTATACAGGTAACAAAGACGAAATTACCCTTCGGTTTTCTTTAAGATTGTCGCCTTCGATCTCTTTTAAAATGGTTTTTGCTTTATCTTTTATACCCCCAATGATATAATGTTTGGCTAAAATGATTTGACATCTTAAATCGGGTTCCAACCCTTCGGTTTTCATGGTTTCAAGAACTTGTTCCATTCCCGCTATGTCGTTTGATTGGCCTTTAGTGTCGATTAATAATCTGTATGTGAAAAGTGATGGCTTTATGTTTTCTTTTTCCATTAAGAGTAGAACATCGGCTATTTTTCGTTTGTCTGTTCTTTTGTATAAAAGGAGTAATTGGTTGCAGGAGAAAGCGGTGATTGGGAGTTTGAGGTCTTTGATTTTGTTGAAGATTTGTTCAGCTTTTTTTGTGTGGGTGATTTGAACACAATTAGCTAAGAGAGTTCGATAAACTATTTCACCTCGAAAAGCTTCCGGAATCTTCTCGATGTAGCTTTCAGCTTTTTGTAATCCACGGGTTTTCGCGAATAAATCAACACGGGATGCATAATCTCTCTCCCCGAATTCTACTTTTTCTTGTCCCTCTAACCATTCTGATAGCTGTAAAATTGGTGTGAATGAATTAATAGACAATAAGTTATTACAATAATAGAAAATTAATGTGTTAAAATACCTGTAAGGCCTTTCCAAACATCCTTCGCCTTCTGAGTTCAAACATTGCACCTGATATTTCTGATCTAGATAGATCATTTCCTTCTTCAACCCACTTATCTAGAGCTTTTTTAGCAGCAGCCATTGATGAAGAATTTACCATAACCTTAAACAATCCTGAAGGACCTCTTCTTTCTTCACCTTTTGTTTCTAAAGCTTCTTCTTCTTCCTCGTTATCTGATAAATTCCGCTCATTTTCAGGCTCTTTCACAGCAATATCATCATCTTCAGATTCAGATTCAGATTCAGACTTGTCAGCTTCAGAAATCAGTCCACTGTCACTAATATCATTAAAAGAAAAACTATTGTTTTGACCATCATCTTCTTCCCCACTACTCTCTGTTCCAGCCTGTGAGGAAAAGCTATGATTCCCGATCAAGAAGCTTTGATTGCCATGTGTCTGGGAATAAAATCTATTTATTGGTAGGGATCTGTTGGATACAAGTGGTGGTAGCTCACTGAACTTAGTGTTGTTAGTGTAACTGGGACTTGTTGTTTCAAATTTAGCAGAGGAAGCACGGAAAGTTACTGATGAAAAAGGTTGGGACCTGGATAAGATGAAACGTATAGCAATGGACATCACAGAAAAAGGAAGAAATCAGATATGAGGATTGAAAGTAAACAAAGATAGCACAAGGAAACTGTGATTTCTAGCATATTCAAGTTATATTTCTAGAATAAGAGATGAAACGCATAAATGTTAAAAGGCAAACAAGATAAGTTCATCAATCAGTGTATATGACATACATTCACTACATCCTCGCAAAAGAAAAGCTACGATTTGAGTTTGAATATTAAGCGAGCTGCCTCTCAATTTCAGAATCGATAAGTATCACAAAAACAAATGTTAACGTTAAGCGTTCAGCAAAATGATTATCAATTTAGGGAAACCAGCGACATCCGTAACGAAATGCAAAAGCATAAAAAACAACAAGTTCGTCTACATCAATCAAACCCATATCGATGAAACTACTCTAAGTTTTGCGGCAGCGGAAATGCTGCCCCAGCTATAATCCATAGCAAGGTTTCTCTCTAAAAGTAAACGAACTCTATAAGCAAATCGCTATTACGATTAGCAGATATCGTTCCAAAAACAACATAGATCAGTTGTAGGAAATGAGTATGTGATTGTAAATTGAGAGAATGGATTCTTACTTGATACGGACGGAGGCTCTTCGAATTGCCCACATAATGGAATGCGAGTAAGGAAATTCAGAAATGGAGACGATATACGAATAGAAAAAACAGAAACAACGAGCACAAAAACCCTTTCTGCTCTTAAACCCTAAAGATGGAACTCCATTGTTTGCTTTGGGAAAATTTTCATAAATTTTCCCTATCGTTTCTCATAATGTCATAGTTGCCCCCTTAGGTTTCTTACAATGTCATAGTTGCCTCTAGGGTTTCTAACAATATCATAGTTACCCCTAGGGTTCAGTTAAATCATATACTTTAGGGGAAAATCACTTGGGAATGTAATTAACTTTTCAGGAAATTCACATCTAGGTAATTATCTTTTTTTTACATATCAAGGTAACAAATTTGTTGGAAGTGTTCACATATGATCATTATGACCGTCTATAGCAGGTTACATCCTAGATGTGAACACTTTCAACAAATTGAAAGTAACAGTAAATTACACGAAAAAGTAAGAGTAAATTACACGAAAAGGCCTTATGGTTTGGGGGAATTTGTGTTTTTGGTCCCTAGCTTATTTTTTAACTCGGATGGTCCCTACTGTTTATTTTGTTATGTGTTTGGTCCATGTCTTAACTAAAAAGACTAGTGTGCCCTTATTAATTTATTTTTTAATTAGTTTTCTTATTTATGTATTTTTTTATATATTTAAAAAATAATAATAAACATTACATATTTGTATCTCCTCATCCTAAACCTGAAACCACATTTATGAAATTTAATCCGGGTCTCATCGGTCTTCATCCCATCTCTCATCCTCCTCAACTTCTATTTCATTTATAAGTTCATAATAACGATATTATATTTAAATATAAGTTTTATTTAAAGTATGGTAGACTTATTTCACTTACAGCGGGTTTTATTAAAAACCGGGCTCCGCTAGAGCAAAGCTTCTGAGCCGAAAGCTCTTTTTCTCATAGCCTTCGTGCGCTCCGGGGCTTTCTTCTAGTGTTGGGGAAGTTTCCTAGACTTTAGGGGTTTTGGGGAAGTTAGAGAGAAATTAGAGAGAGAAATAAAGGTTTATGGTGTGATGAAAATATGAAGGATTCATCATTTATTTATAGGGATTTTATCGTAGAGTAGTCTCTAAGTTTCGTTCGTATCTTCCGCGTACAAACTCCGTTTTCTACGTTCTTTATATCCACACATTGGTATTTACGGGTACTACATCTTTCATTTTAACCCCGTTGGCTAATTCTCATCCTATCTCAGATTTACAAAACTATATTGAATTTGTCGTGCTTGAACAGTAGAGACTAAGTTTTGTCCATATCTTTAACATACAAGCTCTATTCTCGATGTTATTTATATCAATGTATTGGTATTTACGAGTACTACAACTTTCATTTAGACCCCGTCGGCAAAGTCTCATTCTATCTCAAATTTACAAAATTGTATCGAATTCGTCACGCTTGAAGAGTAGAGACTAAGCTTCATCCATATCTTTCGCATACGAACTCGTTTTCGACTGTCTTTTTATCGTTTAACTCCTATTAACAATATATTCATTCCTCGTTTAGATTATTTTGACTAAAAATCGACCGATCTAAAATTCAAATTTTCGGGTTGTGCATTGTTATGCTAAATCTTAGAAAAAATCATAACTTCCTCAAACAAAGTCAGATTTAGACGTTCTTTTTATGCACGCTCTCGGTTTAATGTATACTACGAATTTTGTTTAGATCGCTAAGGCCAAAAAGTATTTTATTAAAAATTCACTTTTTACGTTACGCGGTGTAGTGTCGGTTTAACCGTAAAACTTCGACGGGTCATAACTAGGATTTCGGCGCTCCTTATATGTACGGAACCCTTGTGACATATACTATAATTTGGTTAAGATTATTTATTCTAAATAATCTTCTATTAAAAAGTCATTTTTGACGCTTATTGTCTTTAAATTAACTAGCCGGATTTGTGGGCGTTACACTAACTCCCACCAATCTCTGGCTCGATCCCTCAAACATCCCACAGCAAAGCGGACCTTCGACCCCTCCGGGCAGAATCCCGTCAACTGTGCAGACTCGACGTCTTCAATCTTTTTCCTGGCCACAATAGGGTCCTTCACCCCGTGAAAGTTTGTCGCACCACTCCCTCGGAAGTCCTTGAAAGACAGTATGCGCGTACCCGACTGGCTGGATGCCAAGTCACTCCTGAATGCTCGGAGGCGATCCTCCATAAGCTTAACAATCCCCTCCTTGATTGACCCAAAAATAACTGGGGTCGCCTTAAGGATACCTCTCGTGATCTCAGACGCGATGAACTCGCGTAGCCCGTCATCAACCTGCTTGGATCTCGCACCCGAGCCTGATATAGAACCAGATCCAAACCCTGAACCTCCCGCTCCATGAAGCGTAACCACCGTTTTGAAATAAAACATGTAAACATCAGGGTCATACATACTCTCGAGAGGTCTCGCACGCTCTCCAAGTCCTTGGTTCCATCTCAGCCTCCCTTGACTCGAGTACAAATCCTCTGCTTCCAATAGTACGGGACAACACTACCTTCCACATATATCCGTACTTTCCTCAAGTACTGCCTTGACTTCACCAAATTCCTTCTTCCAATTCTGCTCTCCAAACTAATCTCTTCATAGGCTTAACCTAGGGCCCTCTCCGACCTACTCTCCGCTATCAGTTGCACAAGGAGTCCCTACCATCCTTCCCTAACTAGTTTGTGAATACTATTACATATCCACTTACTGGTTAGCTAAGGCTAGCTAAAACCCCTATAACCACAAAGCAAGCAACATTCGTGCATTGAGTAACCAAATCAAACATAACCTAACTAGGCTATCCTACTACTGACTAGACAGCCCTAACATACGGCTCAATAAACTCATATAACGGGTATATAAGGCATCCTTCCAAGATCCTTAGTTCTATTCTAGCATGCAGCTCTCCGAATCATATAACAGGCATAAATGGCATCCTCCTAGATCATTATCCCTAATCTAGCATGCATTTTTCATAATCATATCATATAATATAACATAACAAGTATGGGTATCTTGGGGAAAACTTACTTGAGCTCGACCGATCGCACACATCACACACCTTGTTCTTTCTCAAAATTCCTTAACTTAAATTTTAGGAAACTATTTTCTTGCAAAAATCTTTCAAGCCCTCGATTTGAATCCAGACACCCTTGAGGTGTGTTCGAATCCCTCAAACCAAGGATCTGATACCAACTTGTAACACCCCAAAATCGGAACCCAAAAAGTTTTGTTTGAAAATATATTACTTATAAAAATATTCATCGAAAACAATATTACAATTTCTTTTACCAAAAAATCATAGGTCATAAGTTTCAAAAACATTTCAACGAATAGTATAATATCAGAGTACAAATCCCAGGCTTCTCAAATGCGGAAATAATGTGCAAAATGTATGATGCGCTGCTACACCGCCGACTCCTTCCCCTTAGATGAAAAGGTACCTGAAACCAAAACTAAAAACCATAAGCACAAAGCTTATTGAGTTCCCCTATCATACCCATACCAAATAATGCATAATCCTCGGTATCCTTCAACCAATAACCGCCAGGCATAGCCACGAGCTGGACTCCCCCTCGGTATCTTTCAACCGGTAACTGGGAACTAACATCCCTTTGGGTATCTTTCAACTAGTAATCGGGAGCTAACCTCCCCTTCGGTATCATTCAACCAATAACCGGGGACTATTTCACCCCTACTACTGCTAACACACATTAAACACAATAATCATATCAAGCACATTAATCCGTAAGACATGTTGGCAAGGAGGTTGCCCAGAGAGAAGTTTAAGCTTTGCTTAGAATTGGTTGGTGTTCGCAGGAGGTAAGCCCCTTTTTGGGCTTGATGATAAGAATGTAGAGGAAGTTCTTATTTGAGGTGGAGCTCAGAGGATGCTCAAGTCAAGGTAGAGATTGTTAAATGTGACTTGAGCATTTGGAGCATTTTCATGGAGCATTTGGAGAATTCTCATAGAGCACTTGGGAGTAACATGGAGCAACTTGGAGCAACATGGAGCAACATGGAATATCATGTTGCACCATGTAGAAGGAAGTTACACTATCCTTGGGGATGTTACGCCAAATGATAACATGATGTGTCATCATGTCTGAAGTTGTGCGAAGGTGATGTTGAGCCATGAAGATGATGTTGCTCTATCAAGAAGGGAAGTTGTGCCATAGAGGAGATGTTGCGCCATCATGGACCATCTTGGTACATGATGCACCATCTTGATTCCTTTATTGTGCCATATTGATGCACATATTCTTAGAAGATGACAATGCTCAAGAAATACACCATGTTGTGCCATTATGATGGATGATGGGCCATTAGTGATCATGATGCTCCACGTGTGTATCATGTTGCTCCACTATGGTCAAGGGGGTCGATTATGTGTGTTGATGATGCTCATGGGTTGCATGAAATGGAATAATGTTCTAGTAAATGTTGCATGAAGGAATATGATTGGTTGTCACCTTTTATGGGCCAATAGGCCAATAGTCTTGGCCTATCTGGGTTTAGGTTTGATCCCTCAACTATAACTAGGAATGTCTGCAGTGAGTAGAAAGAATCTCCGGTGAGTTGTACTTGTAACCTCTGTTTGAGAACTCTGAAATAAAGAATACCCCTCCTCCACGTGGATGTAGGTCACCTTGACCGAACTACATAAATATTGTGTCTCTGTGTGCTTTTAGTTTTGCTTGTTATCCACATTACTTCCTAACAAGTGTCATCAAAACTTGATAGGTGGCATCAAATTTGTTATGAGTTTTTCAAGTATCGTCTGATTCCTTAACAAAAGTTTTGTAAAGATGACCACTCACGAGTTATGAGATCAAAATGTGGAAAAAATGAGATACGATTATGACTTTATGATTTGCGATTCATTGAATTTGTGATTAAAATCCATAGGGGTGTTGTTGTGTATAAAGGTAGTCGGATATTAGACGTAACGAAGAGAGAGAAAGAGAAATGAAATTGAGGAAGAAGATTTGAAGATGGTGATGGTGCTTTTTGAAGGTGAAATAAGGGTGATGATGATTGTAAAGAAGATGGGGAGTGAGTTGGGGTTGGGTGTGGTAAGGTATAACCTTTTTTATTTTTATATCTATAAGAATTGTAAATAAGGGGGTGTTTGGCTTAGCTTTTCAAAGCCAAAAGTCCTTTTTGGAAAAGAAAAAAAAAGCAAAAGATGTTTGACAAACTAGTTTTAGAAGCTACTTTTGAAGTTTTTACATAAGGAAAAACAACTTTTTGAAAAAGTCAGGAAATCCTGACTTTTTGTAACTTTTCCAAAAAGGATTTTTGAGGTTTGAAAAGGTAAGCCAAACACCCCCTAAGTATAAGAAAAAATAAAAAATAAAAAAGATAAATCAAAACCACTATGTAACTTTTACCAAAATGCATTCTATCAATTGTTTTTGATCAGGGACAAAAAGTGAGACTTTGACCAAATCCCATGAACCAAAACTGTAACTTATTCTTTAGTTAGTTAAAATTAAAACCGAGGAAAAGGGAAAGCAATCTGTCGTCGAATTTAATCGAAACGATACTCCGAAGTCCAAACAAAGAACCCTAGCAATCCACACCCTCCGTCCCTCCTCTCACCGTGGAATTCTCCACCACCGCCCGTCTCCTCTTCTGTTTCCTTCACCGTTGCCATTCGCCTCTGTCTGACATCGTTCACCAACTAGGTACCTTTATTTGATTATTAATTTGGGTTTTTGTCGGTATGTGCGTATGTTAGATTCACAGAGCGTAGATCCATTAATTTTTTTTTTGCGCTATCGAGTTAACTGTACGGCTTTGGTTGGTTCTCTGAGTATTTCAGTCTGTCTTGTTTGAACAGTTTATTGTAAGTTCAATGGAAATTTTGGTTGTAAACTGGCTTACAGGCTCGACTATAAAACATGGTAACTATTCAAGAGCCTACGGTCGAGCTTTGCTAAAATGTTCTTAAGAAGTCCCTGTAGAACTAAATTGCCTTGATTAAATCTCAACCATCTTGAATTTAGGTAGGCAAGAACCTCGTCTTCACAAACGGTTTTATGTCTAAGCATCCATGAATGAAAATAGCTCTCAAGCTACATCGCACGTTTTGTAGATTTATCTATGAACACAGTCTTAATATGAAGTACTTTAGATGGAATGATTAAAAAAGCTGTGCATTTCTTGTGATTACAGGATACTATGTTTATGACAAGTATCAGAACATTATACCAAAATTGATTTACAGGTATATTAATCATTTTGACATTGTATTTATACCCTGCTGAGAGCTATAAACTTTCTAATGCAATTTGGTGCTATATGGTTTGATCTAACATCACACTATCGAGAAGATTACTGTGTATGTAACTATGTACACTTTCTGATGCAATTTGTTGCTATATTACATCAGCCAATATGGATTCGGACTTGCATTCTCCTGTGGATAGTGGTGGAGCTAAAGCAGCATTTCATAAGCCTTCAAATGATTCTTCCAGCAGAAAGTATCGCCGTAGGTCTCCAGTGAGTGGCTCTTCTTCTTCTGATGGTTAGTTTTCTTTCTATGAATTTTGTCATGATTATGAACTCCTTCTTTTGGGTGCTTTTACATTGAACAACAAGATACAAGATAATGACACAGTTTTGATTTCCAGTGGAGCCCGCCCGTGATCGTAGCTCTACCCCCACCCATTCCTTGCAAAGGAAGGATGACAATAGGGATTACAAAAGAAGCCGTCACAGCAGTTCAAATTCAAACAGACATTCTGATCGAAGATCTTATAATGATCGTAGGCATGATGATCATAAAAGAAGGGACAAGTATGCAGATGAAGATCAGAAAAGCTTTCATAAGGGCAGCTATAGTGATAAATACTCCCGAGATAGATCAGATGGTTCAGGACATAGAGGTAGGGATAGGGACAAAAGGGATGAAAAAAGAGACTATGACTACCCAAGAACTTCTAAGGGTGGGAAAAGTGAATCACTACCTACTTTTGAGGAGTCTAGGGGACATCGATCCGGACATCATAATCATCATAAAGACACTTCTTGGAGGGATTCTAAGGAGCTTGATGACACCAAATATGGAGGAAGGTTTGAAAAGGGAAAGTCCTACAATCAGGAAGCTAGGGAACTTAAAGACCGACATTTCAAGGAACCTAAAGAGCTAGTTGATGATAAAACTGTTTTAGCTGCAAGGAAGTCAAAGTTTAGCATGGATAAAGATCCAGAGTTCAGCAAGGATGGTAATTCAGGTTACTAACTTTGACTTTGACTTTTTATTTTTGGACCCAATTCTGAAGTTGGCTCTGTTTTTTAACTATGAATGTTTAATTTAGGTTCAAAGCATGTGGGTGTCACCAATGAAGTCCAGTCTTCAAGTTCAAAACAGGGTCAAGAGTTAGTTGGTAAAGCAACAGTAGAGCAAGAGTTTGTGAAGGATTCTGATATAGATGCTGCAAAAATAGCTGCAATGAAGGCTGCAGAGTTAGGTATGTATTTATAATCTTATTGGTTCTAAGGATCTGTTTGATTATTGAATGATATGTGTTGATCAGTGAATAGAAACCTGATTGGAACGGGCATCATGTCAACTGACCAAAAGAAGAAGCTGTTATGGGGGAGTAAGAAGAGCACAGCTACCGAAGAGGTATACTACGATTGATTATAATACTTTTTTCCTACATGATTGAATCTTATTTTTGTTGATTGGGATATGTATGAATGCAGAGTGGCCATAAGTGGGACACATCCATGTTCTCTGATCGGGAACGACAAGAGAAGTTCAAGAAACTCATGGTACTTTTACTTGTTGGTTTTTTTTTTTTTTCTTGTGTTCTTTTTTATTATTATTTATCCACTGCACAGCACAGAACAGCACAATAGGTGTTTGATGATACTGACACATGTTTTAGAGTCTGAGGTTGTATTGGTACATATGGCCAATTGTAGGGTGTAAAAGTGGACCCCAAACCGGATGCTCCAGATGCCACTCTTGCAGAGAAGCAGAAAGAACTTCAGATGGACTTGGAGAAACAGTACACTGCTGGCCTTCGTCGCAGAGATGGCCGTACTGTTGGCTTAGGTCTTTGATCTTCTTCTACTTATTATACATGTTTCTTCTATCTCCTCCACCTCATCATCATCATGCTTCTTTTAAACTATGTCACCCTTTCCAAACTATGATTCTAATGAGTAGTTATCACAACTCTTGTTTCATGTTATTGCTCTCTGGTAAAAAGGTAAAAGATGTTAGATCTACATTTGAAATTATGATTCTCATGTTAGATCATTTATTTTCCTTCTTTGCTTGTGTGGCATGCTATGTCATAATTGAGAAATACTTGGATGCTGAGCTGTGTAATCATATGTGCTGTGCTTGTTATGTGTTGAGTTGCAATTTTGAACCAGTGATCCGGTATTTTTTGAAAGTTCGGCTCCTTTATTTTATGCAAAAGAAATGGTTATTTGATAGGAAATCTTGCCAAACAGATTAAAATTGGTTTTTTTTTTTTTAAAACTCTATAATAAATAGTTAAATATTAGTATTGGCATGTTTTCATGGATTGTTTGAAAGTAAGTAAATTTTATATTTCATATTTAGTGTTTTTATGTTATTAAGTTGTATAGTTTAGTTTGTTATTAATTAAAACATATAAATACACAAGATCTTATGTGGTCGTTATAAGAAAAACCTTTTTTATTAAAATCATGAATGATAAAAAAACATATATTGAAATGAACTGCTTAATTGTATCGAAATGGCTAGTAACATAGGTTTATTGGGTGTAAATCCAATGGCAGAAATACACAAAATCTATCATTGGGACTCTTATGGGAAACAAACTGTACATTACAATCATGACATCAATATTTTCCTATTAATTTTGGAGTAAATTACATGAATGGTCCTTATGGTTTAGAGTAATTTGCGCGTTTGGTTCCTAACTTATTTTTTTAACTCGGAAGGTCCCTACTGTTTGTTTTTGTTACGTGCTTGGTCCCTATCTTACCTAAAAAGACTCTTATGCTCTTATTTTTTTAATTTATTTAAATAAACACACCCCTAATTCCACCCCCTCACCTTACCTCACCTACCCCATCATTTTTTCCCTTTTAAATAATAGTCTTTTTAGGTAAGACAAGGACCAAATGCGTAACAAAAATAAACAGTAGGAACCAAACGCGTAACAAAAACAAACCATAGGGACCTTCCGAGTTAAAAAAATAATTTAGGGATCAAACACGCAAATTACCTCAAACCATAGGGACCATTCGTGTAATTTGATCAACTTGGAGCTTATTTTGAAGAAGAGGATCGACCTAGCCGCCAAAGATATGAAGATAATGAAGACAATAAACTTATTTTGGTCCGAAAAGGTTTATTTAAAGTGAAATGATGACTTGGACATTCCATGTCATCATCCAAGCAACATCAATTTCCACATCATTCAAAAGAAACCGATAAAAGATCACTTAACCGGAAATTTGGACAAAAATAACATGAAGAAGTTGATGTATGTCTTTTACTGTTCTCGATCTTTGTGTAGGAGTTAATCTGATAAAAGTTCCATTTTTTTTTTCAGCCTAAAAAAATTAAGCCACGTAGGAAGCAAAACAACCCAAATTGGTATTTTTTTTGTAAATTAAAAATGTTCATATATAGCAGAATATATATAAACATATCATTTCATTGTTATTAAGCTACCATGCCAATGTATTTAATTTGGTCAGGAAGTTACCTAACACCTTAAGCAAGATAGTTATTAAATATAGTAACTTAGTAAATATATAAAAAGTACAATGACCTTGTTAAAAAAACATTGATATTACCTTAACCCCATTTCTTTTCAAACCAACTATGTTGGATCTTATTCTAAAGTATTGGGTCCCAAACTACTGGCAAACAAGTGGCATACAACGTAACAAGTCGCCTTTCTGCACATCATAATTATTAAAACATAATCCTCTACCAACCCCATTTATTTTCGCATCCCAAGGACAGAACGAAGAATTGGACTCCAGTATCACGTGGCCACCACCGACTCTGCGACGGGTTGAAGAATACTCACAGTAGTTTCTGATGGCCGTCAGTTCATACGGCGAAGTATCGGTGGCCAACCACTGCTCCACGGTAAACTCCTGCTGCGCACACGGTGTATGAGCTCCGGTGGTGGTAACCTCTACATAGTTACAGTACCATCCATGGTGATCTCCGGTCCCATCCGACGTCAAATTCATCTCACACGGTGGTCCGGTCAAACATGGTCCTCGGCCACTAAATATGTCGAGGTTGCTCCGCTCGAAGTAATCATAGTCGGAACCCATCAAGCCACCCCAAGCCTCGATGTCGTTGATCCTTATGCCATAGCCAGCTGCATCATATAGTGTCAGAGTTATTTTGGAGTCCGTTCCACCTTTCCAGATTGAACCCGTTCGTACGTAGACGGTGTACACGCAGTCTGGATCATCCTGCAATATATGATTAACAAAAACTGTTAGTGGATGTATGAATCGGTGAGGGTTAATTGGCCGGTTGGGATTAGGTGGGCTAGATTACTGATCGGCAGACGGTGGCTATGGCGATGAGAATGAATATGGTAGTGAAGAAGACATGGTTGACTGGAGATGTGGCCATGTTTGTTCTTGATGAGTTCTATGTGATAGCTTTTTGGGATTTGTTTGTATTTGTATATATTATAAAATGGGGTTTGGTAGGGAAGTATATATATGTTCTAAAGGGATGACAACAATGTGGTAGGTATTAGGTTCAAGTTTATGGACACATGCTACCAATTTATTTGGTCATCATGGCCGTCGACATATTAAAATTGAGAACACTCCTCTACTTGGAAAAGCTTACAAATAAAACGTACGTAGTATTATATTTTATTGGTATATTAGAATATTCTATTTTTATCCGGATTATTTTGTTGTTTCTTTTTAACACATTATATTATGAAAGATGTAATCAATTATATTGCACTCATTTATTTATTATGACATTGGCCTCAAAGAGACTTGGCTCAATTAGTTATGGACAACATGATTAATGTTGAGATAAAACAAATGACAATGATTGTAGTGATCCGAGTCACGACAATGACATAGTTTTTCCTTTATTGCAGTTTCCCTCTTTTAGGGGAGCTCCGTGTTGATCGTTTTCCGATCTTAGCAGACCATCTAACAGTACCTGATTTAACTTTTATACGTACATTGAGCTTATTATGGCTGTTTGGCTGTTTGGTATGGGCTGTTTGAGGTTTCCGAGATTCAACATTTTGAGGTTTGGGATAAGACAGTACTTTGGAAATTTATCTTGTTGTAGTACTCAACATAACTTTGTATATGTGTAAACCTACAGATTGATTTATTTTTTAAAATACAATGTAGTAATAAAAAAAATTAAGTAGGATCTACTACGATAAACAAATCAATAAAACTATGTTTTGGTTTCTTGCACGCAACTCTTTTAAAGTTATACAACGATTGACACATAATCATATAATCTTCAGGACCGGTCCTGAAAAATGAAATATTCTTAAAGACCCAGGACGAACAAGAGAAAAAGGACCCTTATCTTTATTATAATTTTGTATTTCTAAATAAAAATATATAATGAAAAAAATTGGGCTCTGTGCAGCTGCCCACTTTACCCCCCTCTAAGCCCCCCATGATAATCTATTCTTTTCTTTGACTTTAGTGATAATTAAGATCAATTGGTGAATGCCCTAATAGGTGACCTAGTCTCGACTCAACGCAAGACTGCTTTCGAGACATTGGCTTACCAATCTTTCGACAAGACTAAGTTTGCCAATTTATTAGGTGACACTTTACAAAAAAATCGTTGATTATATGGATCTAATGGATCGATATCAATGGTTCTTAAAGAGAATATTGAAATGTGTTTAAATAGACATGGAAATGAAATGTGTTGTTATTCTATGAATATATCAATATAACTATGAAAATGTCTCCAAAGCTATTTTGCTTTGATTTTAACTTCGAGCGAACTCTATTATTACACTTTAAATTAACCAAAAGTTATATATTAGCATTAAGAACTTTCAATTAACTTTAAACTACATTAAAAGTTATTTAACTTTAAATTAACACTAATAAGATGTATAAACATAGCTTATATTTATTTTTAGTATCTTATTAAATTATAAATGCACAAAGATAGTTTATTTCTAGACCAAAGTAAGATAATCAATGAATAATAGAAAATATAAATTTTTTTTCTATCATCATAATACCGTATTATTGGTGGTTTTGGAATTGAAAAAGAACTCGTCGTCGAAAAAATTAGTTTAAAGACAAGTCTTAAAAATGTAAAATATTGAAGAGTTTCTCACTTTGATGAGCAAGGTAATAATATTTCGCATCAATCGTTATTGTTTAGATTTTTGATTTATTGCAACTCCAGATCAAACTAAACTTATTTATATGGTTTCTTTTAAATTTTGGTTTAGACCTCCCTAATTATAATTAACATTCGTGTTCCACCCTAACTATGATATGCAAGGGCCTCGTCAAGGATAATACATTTTCGATGTTTAAAGTTTACTCATCAAGAAATTTTAGGTTAAAGTTACTCATCAAGAAATTTAACTATTTAAGCTTAAGTTAACCATTTGAATATTTTACCTAATGCAGTTTGAAGAAGTTAGTACTATGGTTTTGATTTCCTATCCTTGTTGCTTCGCTTCCAAATATGAAACTCCTCTGGATCGCAATTCCTTTTTAATATCCTTCCTATTGTTAATATTGTCTTTGCTTTCGCAGTGTCAATGATATATAGCGTTGGAATTTGAAAATATTCATAAGCGAAATTTCACAACATGAGATAGAAAGCTTCAAAAAGATGCCCCCTCTAGCATATATGAAATTCTCTCAAATTAAAGCTAAAAAATCAAGATCGAAATATACGTACTATTACGAACTACGATATCTTTATAAAGGTTTTGTTCAGAAGCTTTTCTGTGTATATTCACTGTGATCGATACAAAGAAGACATGCCTAAATAGATAATACAAAATACAAGAAAAGAAACTCCTAAAAAGGAGACAATACTCGTGATTGAGAGGTAAACAAGGAGAGAATATTATGCAAAATATTATGTATTCCAATACACCCCCCCCTCTCAAGGTGGAGTATGTAGATTTCGCATGCCCATCTTGACAAGGAGAAACTCGAGTTGTTTTGCACCCAATGCTTTCGTGAGTAAGTCGGCTACTTGTGTTTTCGTGTCAACATAGAGAGGTTTGATTTCACGTGATTCAACTCGTTCTTTGATAAAATGACAATCCATTTCCACATGTTTTGTTCGTTTATGGAAAACGAGATTGTTGGCGATATGGCGAGCTGCCTTGTTGTCACAGTGGAGACGAGTAGGGTCGTGTTGTTCTGTTTCAAGGCCCTTTAATAACCATCACATCCATAAAATTTCACTAGTGGTT